AACAGGAAAAGTAACTTTCGTTATCATGGAATTATAACAAAACCTGCCAATTCAATATAAATGGAAAAAAAATATTATATGGAATTGAACGAAAATGAAAATTTGCTTGATAATTCAACTACGCTTGTTGGAGAACAATAAAAACACTACACTCAACAAGCCACCAATAAAACTCAACTGCCTAACCTATAACTAAAGTCTCCTTTTTATTTGTTTTTAAAAAAAAGCGCTTGACAAACTTGCCCCGCATGCCGAAGTTGCCCCGATCTCCCCTATGTCATATATGATGGACTGTTTTCTCAGGCAAACATATAGTCGCGTTATATAAGATGGATAGCCAGTTATTACTAATATGCTGGTCTGTGTTTATGTGAATTCTTTATAACTCCTGTTATTTTTGTGTAATCCAGATGAAACTTTCGTAATTTTACGATTGATTTGATTAAACTATTGTTTGTAGAATTTAGATTGCAATTATTTGAAAAGTGATGTACTTATCTTTTTAATTTTATGGACATGATAGACTTGACAATGGTAATTTGGGCGACGAACTAATTGTTCAATAATATACAAATAATGAACGAAATGAAATTTTTTTATCGGCTTGTTTATTAAAATCATAACTATTGTACAAAATAGTCTAATATGCTAATTTATTTAATGTAATTTATTCAAAACTTTAAGTAGTTTTCATTTTTGTAAGAAGCTAAACACTTAATTAGCTGACTTTTCTAACATATTTTGCCTGGAAAGTTCGATTATGCTTTAGTTTTATTAGAGGAACGTTAAAATTTATAAATCTTTAATAAAAAACAAATTAACATACTTTATTTTTAAAACATTTTAATAAAAAACAAACGTTTTTATGTGGATAACAAAGCTTTGATTTAAGAATAAGAAAATACAGGATGGATGAGCAAAGTGTATCAAACTGATTCGAGGATGCTTTTATTATTATTGTAGTGAGTGAAAGCAGCAAATTTCTGTGAGGGAACTCTACGCCGTTGCATTTACTCCCAGAGAAAATTACCGAAAAGACAGGAAGGTTGGATTTCCATGAAAGTAAGCCAAAAACGGCATTTTGAAAAAATCAAAAGTTAATAGTTTTTTTTCCATTGAAGCGGTTATTGGCCAATCCTGAATAACAGCATGATTAAGCTACATTATATATATATATATATATATATAAAGAACTATTATTTTTCATTTTAATTCCGTGTATATATTCCTATTACTTTCATATATGTGTAAGACCATCTCATTTTTATTTTATTCTCTAATTCTATTATAACAGCAATAACATAATCCGTTATATATTGTAGGAATATTTCACCTAATCTTAATTGATAGTAGAATTCCACCTAATGGACGTCCAAACTTATTTTTGCGTTGAGCATTACTAATTATTACGTTATTGTCTCGTTTTAAATATTTTATTTCCATTTCACTAAATTTTATACTCCAGGTTTCTAAAAACCCAATTATTTCATTTAAATACAGAAATTTTCTCATCCAGGTTTTGAATAATTTCCCTCTTAGTCCTTGAATATTCCAGAAGTTTATCGTCACTTTATTTTTCACTCTTTTTGGAATTTCTACTTTATTCTCACTCAATTCATTATCTTTGACTATCAATTTATCTCCACTCATTTTTGTTTTTTTTTTGTTTTTATTCCCCATATTATTAGCCATTCTCCTTTTCTTCTGTATTGTTTTAAAATTTTGATTTATTTTTGTTAATCTTGTATTATATTTGTCTCTAAAAATGATTTAACTGAATTATTTCTTTGTTATTCAAATCATATGTATACATTATATTATTTTTAAAAAAATAATCATCTTTAATTTTTATTTTGTTTTCATCCTATTTCTCTAGTTTAATCGTTTTTAATAACAATTTTCTTCTAATTCTAGATCTATAACATAAGTCCGTTGATATTATTATTATTTTTCTTTTTTTCGTATGTCAATTTCGGTCTTGTGGTCCAAAACATATTAAGAATTAGATTTCTATCTTTAACCAATTCGGTCATAACCTTAATTACTTGATTATTTCTTCTATTTCCTATTTGAATAAGACTTTCGATTTCTATACAATTAAGCTTTAAGTTTTCTTTTATAAATTTCTTAAACTCTTCTACATATTCCGATGTTTTAAATAGAAAATTAAATATAATTAGATTCTTTTTAGTCCTCTCGTTTAACATTTTATCAATTTGAAAATTTACCATACCTTTTAACATACTGTACGAATCTGTTTTTTTTTCTAATAAACGTAATTTTTTACAAATTTCTTTCAACTCTTCCTTGAGCTTCAAATTTTCTACCTTCATATTATGGATTTCAGCTCTCATGGA